CATTGAAGCAACTGCCATGTGATTGGTTGATTAGATAATTGCATTAATGAGAAATTGAACAGGTGTTCCTAATAATCCTTTAGGTGAGTGTATAATTCAGAGGAATATTGTTTCTAAGCCAGCTGCAGTATTTTACTGGAATAATCTGTTCGATGACATAGATTGAGGATCTACTTGGATGTTACCTAGGACTTTCATTATTACGAATAAGGGGTGGGAGGTAACTTTAAAGATTCTTCATCGTTGTTATCCAGTGAATTGCAAGATTGACAAATTTAAAAGAGATACAAATGTGTCCTGTTCTTTTGGATGTAATCCTGATAAATTTATTTTGGAATTGTAGATACAGTAAGATATTCTGGACAGACCTCAATAATTAAATAAACATAGTTGTTGTTGTTTTAGTTCTCTTCTCCTTTTATATTGTCACAGGGAACTATATCCTAACATGTTTGTATATTAGTACAGCATTAATAAAAATAATAATAATAATAATAATAAAGAAATCACAAACCCGGATATAGGAGGAGGGTTGGAATATATATTATCGTAATAATTCATATGTAGTTCTAAACGGTAGTTTATTCCTCTCCTACAGCGTCCATTACAATTGCATCCAGATTATGCAAATGAGGTGATGACGTCATCTAGCAACTTTTGGGACAGTCAACAGCTACTTTCCTTGCTGAGAGGTTGGCAACAGTGATCGTTTAGCCACAATGATGTGGCTCTCATGTGGTGTAAAAAAGGAGAAGCATTCAACACCAAGAACACCATCCCCACAGTCAAGAATAGTGGGAACATAATGCTTTGGGGGTGTTTTTCAGCCAATAGCCTGGGCAATCCAATCAAAGGAAATGGCACCATGAAAAAAGAAAACTACATTAAGATTCTCAAAGAAAACATCAGGCAGTCTGCAGAGAAACCTGGCCTTGGACAGCATTGGACATTCCAACATGACAATGATCCAAAATGCACATCAAAAGTGGTCCAGAAATGGTTGGCTGATAATACCCTAGAATATTGTGTGGGCCACAAGAATGATTCCTGGTCTTAGAGGAATGTCATACGAGGAAAGGTTAGTTGAGCTAAATCTGTTCAGCCTCAAGCAAAGGAGACTGAGGGGGGACATGATTCAGGTCTATAAGGTTCTAACAAGTTTGGATGCTGTTCAACCAAATAGTTACTTCAGCAAATAGTACTT